AGAAAACAGAACAGGAACACGCAGTTCTCCAAGAGCTAAAGAATACAAATCTCTGCCCTGACCCCTCCAAAACACAGAGATGATATAATCAAAGGGATTTTTGAAGAGAGGTTTCTTCTTCTACCACCAGATTAGTTTACTTGTGTTATGGTTAATTTACTTGTGTTATAGCAAAAAAAAACCAGCATAAAAAAACTTCAGGCAGCCACCAGTATTTAGACTCCACACTGTGCAGACTTGCTCCAAACAGGCCTGGGCAACAGCTGGAAATGTTGATCCCTGCCAACATCCCAAGCCTACACCTGGTTCTCACAGGAGACCATCTCCAGCAGAACTGAACAGATGGAAAATTGCAGAGCAAGAAGTTGAGCAGGTTCAACCAACAAAGCTGCTGCCTATGATCAGAACTGAGGGGTATTTAAAATAATTTTTTTGTTTAACAGACTTTTAAGTGGGAATTTGGAAGCCACATTCAGGCATTACGCAGCTCAAAATAATAAGATATGGACCATATGCTGAAGTTTGTGTGAGGTGGAACTTTTTGAAGTTCAGCTGAACATCTCTGAAGATAATTTAGCTGCAGGCTCCAACAGTTTGGATCCCACCAGCCTCATTCCCGTAATCCCTGCTCACACCAGTGCAACTCGCCTGCCTGCACATGGCAAACTGCCAGCTGTGACAAACAAAAACATCAAACCCATCAACACCCCGATGTCTGCTGGCTCTCAGGTCCTGTTATGAGCAGGGCTTTGGGTGGCATGGCCAGAATTCGTTCACCTTCCCTGCAGGATCTCCAGGAGGTCCTGGAGAGGAAAACCCTTGGGATGCACTGCAGGAGCAGGGTCAGGGCAGAGTCCAGCCTCCAAGGAGAGGACAGCCTGAAGCCAGTCATGGCTCGTGGGGAGCCTGGCTGGCTCTGCAGTGCTCTGTCCTTCCCCAGCTCTCACTCCAACACACATGTTCTGCAGAAACCCAGATTTCTATCTCACTGACAACTTTATTAGACGTTATTCTGGCAGGTAACCAAACCACCACTGCCTCTTGTCAGCTCAGATGAGCAAGATTTTATCCTCTGTGATCCCAAAGATCCACATCCTGCAGCAAAGCCTTCCCTTCCTCCTGGTGCTGCTGAAATGCCTTTACTTCTCTGCCATAACAGAGTACAAAGAGGAGCCCTGAGCAGAGGTCACCAACAGTGTGCTGCATCCTCTGCCCCACTCCCAGTTTAGAATAAAGGTCAGTAGGTCTCCTTCCACCCCTGCACATGTATCCTGTCCTCTCTGAGAGCCCAGCCAGCTCCTCCAGCAGCTGCCCAGCAGCTCCTGGCACATCCCTCTGGAGCTGCAAACACTTCTCAGACTGAGTCCCACCCACACTGCTTTATCTGAACTGCTGCTGGCACTGCCTGGAGACGTCCCAGAACAGCCCCAGAGCAGATGAACAGCCCTGGAGGGCACCTGAACCCCTCCTGAGCACAGGAGCTCCAGCTCATCCAGCCCCCAGGGTGAGCAGGGCTGGGGCTCTGCCCTCCACCTGCAGAGCCTGATGTGTCCCATCACACCCAGCCCCACACTGATCTTCACAGCCCCTGTCCCCCCACAGCAGCTCCACAACAGAGCTGGGAACAGATTTATTTATTTCCTAAACATCATCTTCCTCTCTCTCCCTCACCAAGCTCCAGCTCCAACCCCCAAAGTAACAGCTGCTTCACATATCTGAAGGTCTGGAAGGAGCAATAAAGCTGTTTATCCTGAAAGACCTTGAGGCAGCAGCATCCCTGAGGCCACAGCCAAGTCACAAGTCCCACAGGCACTGTCAGCAGCCAGGAGCAGGGGCTGGAGCTCCCTCTGTGCAGAGCAGAACCCACTGGTGACTGGAACCCACTCCCAGCCTGTCCCAGCCACCCTCCCAAAAAGAGGATGTGGATCAGAGGACACGGAGCACGTCAGGCAATCATGACATGGGATGGGAAATGGAGGCTGAATTTCTACATTTGAAGAAAAACACCATCTGCATCTCAGAGAACAGTGGGGTGCAACTGGCAGGGCTGACACCCTCCTTCCCAATAAATGATCACCCCTGACTGCACAGACACTCATTGATCCACAGCATTTCCAGACTCTGCTGACCTGCTCTTTTTATCTCCCAGATTCCTGCTGGGCACCAGCAAACAGTTAAATTTTTCCAAGTTCTTGACGTTTCACTAAACACTACTTTCTTGAGTATGGAGCATAATTAAAGACCTTTTTAAGGCAAGGTTTGGAAAGGAAGATGCTTGGCACAGGAAGGGCTTGCTCACCCCAAAAGACAGAGGAAGCTGCTCAGTAAAAACAGCATCAGGTTTTGACACCCCAAAAGAGAAAGGGGATTGGTTTTAACAAAGAACTGCAGCTCCCAGATCACAAGAACTGGCTGTTTCTGCCCAATTCAGGCCAAAGTTTCTGAAAACCCCGACACAGCTACAAAACAGAACTCTTGTTTTTGGCTGGTTGCCTTGGAGACACAGAGTGATCTCTTGGGAAGAAACCAAGGAATGCATCTTAATCCAAGCTCCTTCCTTTTCAGGCATCAACACTCAGCCTTATTACCCAGAGTAAAAGCCACAAACATCCTCTAGGTCAAGAGTAAACAGAAATCTTTCCATTTGTCCACCATCAGTATCTTCTAGACCCTGGCTACAAAGTCATACTCTGTGCTTGGCTGAGCAGGAAGGGAACTAAAAGAAAAATGGGTGTTTCTCCCACACCACATTTCATTTCCCCCAGAAACTTGGGTCTTGACTACTTTCCTTTACCTTATTTTTCAAAGGGTCCCTATTTGTTTCATCTTCCTGAGTTCTGCAAATATTAACAGGCAGTTTCTCTTTTGCCTTTTAATCTCTCTCCTCTCAGAAACCAAATGTTTACACACAAGTTCTCCTGCAGGAGGACCCCACACACATTTCTCAGGGAACAGCTGTGTGTGCACCTTGCAGGATTTGGCTCCTCAGCTGCACAGCAGGGCAGTTAATGCTGTTAAGCTGATAAAGAACAGGGGCAGAGAAGCTCCACGACCTGCCCAATGTCACACACAAACCCACCAGTGACACACAAAGCAGCAGTTAACCAGCATCACACAATATTTTAGGCTGGGAAAGGTCCTCTGGAGGTCTCTAGCCCAAACTCCTGTCCTTAGGACTGACCTGCCAGTTGCTCAAAGCTTTCTCCTGGCAAGTTTCAGGCTGGACATGCCACAACTTCTCTAGGTTTGACCAACCAAAAAAACAATTCAATCACTGCACTGGACTTGTGCTCATCTCCCTCCCTCATTTTGGTACTGTTAAGGACACCTTCCACTCTGCACCATTTAATTGGTTTTACTCAGGGCTTTGTTCTTTGTGCCCCAACAGCATCCCCTCCTCAGAAAAATCAGCTCCTCAGCTCTGTCAGTAGGGCTTTCCCAAATATAACCATCCACAAGATTCCCTCTGTGTCCTCTGCTCCATCCTAAGAGCACTCACAACTGTAAGATGCTGTATTAATATTTTCACCATTTATACCACACACCTGATTTGGTGTAAATCAAATCAAATTAACACCCAAAACTGAACCTGAACAGAGCCAAAAGAGCTGCAGGGAGTGCAAGCCAGCAGGAGTTTAAGCAGCAGAACAACTCCAGTCTCACCAAGCATTTCCCTGTAGTAAAACAAGGAAAAACTTCAGGAGCACTGAGCAAGAATCAACACTCCTGCTCATTTGCTTGTTCTGGATCTCAAGGTGCTCCAGACCTGCTCCCTGCATTAGTCACCATCAAATTACCACAGGCTTCGTGTGCTTAGGGAGGAATTTGACAGCGTTAAGCAGCACTCCTTGCCTCCCTTCAAATGAGATGCATCCTGCTCAAGGGATTTCCTCAAATTATAATGCTCAGCGCCTCAGGCACCCATGTGCATTCAGTGCCTCAGTTATCTACTTGGATTTGGGTAACGGAATTGTTCCACAACAGTTCCCACTATGGAGAAACATGTCATATCACAGCCCTAAAAGTCAGGATTTGCTACCTCTGTGCTGCTTCCAGAGCCCAACAACTCTCCCCTGCTCCCTTATCACGTCCAGATGCATTTCACCAAGCCCTACAAAGATTAATTCTCAATTTAGGGCTCACAAGGATCTACACTACTCCCCAAGCCGTGAGAAAATCTGGCATTCGCTCACTCCAGAGGCATTTGGAGCAACCAGCATCTCCTGGATCTTCAGAGCTGTAGCTGCACATTCAGAACGAGCAGGTGGTATAATCCTATCAAGGGGAGTTAAGGTCTTTGCTGATCTCTTTCTGCCTAATCGAGACCCAATTCCTGAGCCTCTATCAATAGATCACTAATGCGGGGAAGACGCCAAAGCCACCCTGCCCAAGTGACCACGGGCAGCTCAACACTCCCAACCCCTCAGACACAGGGCAAGCCCGCAGCTGTTCAAACCCTGCAGCTCCCCCTCAGCTCCCAAATTCCTGAAATACTTTACTCTCCATTATCGTATCTCCAAGAAGGGATGGGGTGGGAGAGGCCCTGCAGTTATCACAGGGCAAATCCCACCCTCAGCTGCTTGGTGGGACAGCACCCAGTGCCTCCTCCCTGAGAGCAAATTCCATTTAATGCCAAGTCCCATCTCCCAGCTGTGGTCCTCAGGCTCCCTTTAAAGTTCCAGGAGACAGTAAAAGCAAACAAGGCAGTGCTGGCAAAGAGCTACAAACTCCTAATGTTGGATACTATGAAATATTACTCCCTGGTTCCTTCCTCACCATTCTGAAATATCCTGTGCATCATGTGTGGTGGAGTTCCACCTGCCCTCTCCTGTCTTCCACCTGCCCAAAGGCTTCACTTCTGTTTTACCCCCTGTTTCAGCCAGCTCTGAGGGCAGCCTCTGGCTGGGGCAAACACTCTCATGCTCCCAGCGGTGCCTCCTGAGAAGCCGAACCCAAACCAGCACTTCCAGCGGCCGCTGAGCACAGAGGTGCCCGGTTACCTTCTTGCGGCGCGAGCCCGTCTTGCTCATGCAGGACCTCTCCAGGGACAGGTACCCCCCGATCACTTCAATCTCGTTCACCGTGGGGTAGCGCTTTTTATGAGATATCCCCACTTGGGGCCCATCAGCGTTCTCCACGGCTTTGCCTCTTCCTTTGCCATCCTCTTCCTCCTCCTCTTCCTCCCGCTGTGGCCTTCCGCTGGCATCGGCGAGAGCCTGCAGCCCCGGGGCCACGGGTTTCCTTTTGGGCACGACAGTGAAGGTGCTGCCTCCCCTCTGCTGGGGGGCAGAGTGTGGTCTGTAGAGGGGCACGGAGGAAATCTCCATCTCCAGGTCAGGGCCAGCTCCTCCGGGCTGGTTCGCCAAGCTCCCCGTCCTCGCAGCTGGGCCAGCCCTGGGAAGAAGCTCGCCGCTGTCCGGCTCCACAATGTCATCGATGTAAGTCACAGGTACCAAGGGATCCAGAGGCGCCGCTGGGGAAGTGATGGGCTCTTCCTGCTCCGGGGCGGAGGCCCTGGGAGGCTCCTGGGGCGCCTTCTCCTCTGAGGGCGCCGGGCCTGGCCTGGCAATCTGGGGCTGGGCTGGGCTGCCCTCCCGGCGGGGCACGAAGACGAAGGAATTGCGCGAATTCAGGCGCAGCTTGGCCAGAGCCTGTGCCTGCAGGTCGTGGGCTGGGATGGCCGCCAAGTCGGGCTTGGGGGCCGGGTGGATTTCGAAGGAGCCCCCGGCCCGCGGGGCTGAGGCGGAGAGCGGCCGAGTGGCACTGGGGGCCGGACTGGCACTGGGCAGGGGCGACACGGCCGCTTCGGCCTCCTCCGCCTTTGGCCTCCTGGCGTTGGCTCTGGCATGGGAAGGGCTGGTGGATGGCACTGGTGGCCCCTTGGGCGTCGCGGGGCGGCCGGCGGGGACAGCACCGGGCTCGGGGACGCGGGTGCTGGGGGGCTGCCCCCGGGGAGTGACCGTGAAGGAGTTGGGGCTGATCTTGTGGAGAAAGCAGTTGGCCTGAGGGGCCGCAGCCTTGGG